CCCCAAAACCCCAAAACCCCAAAACCCCAAAACCCCAAAACCCCACACTAGATATTCACTACTGAATTATAAATTATATTTATCCTTCTTCTGGACAACTTTCAGCTTCCCATAATTTTGACTGAAGATATAGCTGCCCAGGTACTCTTTTCCACATCCATAGATTCCATTTTTAAAAACCCATTCGACGAATTCAGATTTGGTACATTTGAAATTTGAATCTGAGCCCTCAATAAATTCTTGAATCTTTTCAGGTGTTAAAGTATGATCTTCATTGAGATATTTCTTGAAGTGTCTGAGGCCAATTTCTCCCCTCTTCTTCTTATCAAGTCGATCAAAATCTCTTTCTATCATCTCTAGGTCCTTCATTTTACGAATTCTGTACTCTTTCAAGATGCTGTTTATGAAATCAGCTTTATTGATGATAAATAAATTCCGCTTTTTAGGATCAGCAGCAAAATTATGCTGAAGTTTATTTAAAATAGAATTTCCCATTGTAATTTTAGTAGTAAATTCCTTCAGATCGATGTCTCCAGAGAAGTCAGCATCGATGAATTGGAGCATGCTTGCCATTTCTTCATCTGAGAAGAAGATTCCAAACCGATTTTTAAGCCCATTGATCATTTCTAATGGTTCTAAAACTTTGTCATTGTTGACATCGAGAGCTTCAAACATTCCTAAAGGATTAGAGTGATGTAGTACCTTTGACATCTTTTCCAAGTTTGTTCATCTTTAAGCAGATCTTCATTAGAGAGAATTCAACCATAAGCTTGAATCTGACTTCTTTGAGCATCTAATGGGATGATTTATGAAGAGACTTACTGTAGAATTATGTAGAAGAGAAGGAACAATTTTTGGTATAATCTTCTGTCCACCCTCTTTGTCAAGTACCCTTGACAAAAAGTCAAGCAGGCTGAAAATATTGCAATCTCCGCCTGTTTTAATATTGAAGAGTTGGTCATCTTTTATCCTGATTCCTTTCTCAATACAATTTGTTCTCCACTGAGTCTGAGCCTCATTGAAGATGATCCTACTTCTGAGGACGACATCGATCTCGTCCTTTTCAAATGGATATTCGAATCCAAGGATCCTCGCTAGAAGTCTATGCTAAAACTTACTGATTATAGATGCGTAAGGGTAGTTTTTCTTTGAGACAGAAATAAGTCCTATGATTTAAATATACAAAATACCCTGACATAAAGACTGGATGTTCTTAATTGCCAGCTTTTTCAGTCCATAATTCATCAGCAGCTGGTCATAGAAGAACTTGTTGAGTGGCATATTTAACAAATTCTGGTCACCACTTAGAATCCATTCCATTTCTTTGAATAATCTCTCGTCTAATGTATTTTCAACAGATTTATATAGAGTTCCTTCTGGCATTGGCAGAATTTTCTCATTGAGGTTTAGATCTACTTCTAAAATTTCAATTAATGGGTTGTTCTTTGTTGGTCCTGCATTTTCAGGCTTTTTGTCTATAATATCATAATCTGCTGCGTTAGAAGCTTGCTTTGCTAATCGGAAATAAGCTTCTCTGAGTTTTCTCTTTTTGGTATCTTTGTCATCATTTGGTCTAATTTGGATATCTTCCTCTATTGGCTCAAAATCAGATTTTTCAAATTCACTTTCTGATTCTTCCTCTTCTTCATACTCATAGAATTCTTGGTCATCTATTGGATCGAGAGAGCCTGGTTCATTAGCCATAGTATGTTTGGAGTGTACTCCATAATTACTTCTGGTAGAATTTGAAATGACTGACCCTTTAGTTATCATTTTTTTTCTCTTTCGTCTCTTCCTTCTTTTAGAGATCTTTTCATCTTCATCCATTTCACTGTCATTGCTATTCCTTCTAGGAGGGAGGACAATTTGACGTATAGCAATGATCTCTTTCCTGTCATCGAGATTATCGTAATCAATATCAACTGTCACATCGTTAGGGAGGTATTTATACTGAGTTGTTTGGACTTCCTTATCTTCTCTATTCTTTCCCTTGCCTTTAATTATTCTCAAGCACTCTAAGATCTGGAGCTCGAGTGCAAAAGAAGTGATCTGTTTGTTTATATCGGGATCTTTTCTACATTCAAGTATGGACATGGACTTAGTAAGTTCCTTTCTTCTCTCATATTCTACCATCTCCTTTTTACGTTTTTCCAAGTTTTCTTTGAATCGTGAGATATCTGCCTGCCTCATTGCTTTTTGGACTTCAGTATTGATCTCAGAGAGAAGTTCGTTATCATCTCCTTCGCCTTCAGCTTCGTTATCTGAAGTATCAGAGTCGTTGATGAGATCAGGTTTTCTGAACATCGATTTATTTAGCTATTCTATTAACTTTCTCTATAGTTAGCCTCCGGTCCTCAGTAATCTCACTTTCGTGGTCTAAAGAATTAGCTATGAAGTACCTAGAAGCTGGTTTTGATTATCAATTCTCTCTGAAGCTATTTTATGGAAGCTCAACTTGTTTCGACTGCTGACTGGAGTAAATGCATCTCTTTCAGATCTTGGAAGTGGTGACTTGTTTCTTTGACTATGAATAGAAACTGTTTCTTGGTGTTTCATAAATTTTTCAAGATTTCTGTGACTGATACGATGTCCTGATCTACTCTCTGGATCCCAGTTAGACTTTGGGATCTCAAGTTTGGACTCTTCTATCATGGATAACACTTCACCCATTGCAGAGAGTTGTTTTTCTTTTTCCTTAGATTTATCTTGAAGAAGAGAGTTAAATCCGGTGAGGAGATCTTTGTACTTTTTAATCCCTTCAGGATTCGAGAGAAGTCTTAGCTGATGTTCTCTATCTCTTGCAACAGTACCAATCCTTTGATTCTCTTGCTTTAGTCTTTGAAGATGTATTTTTATTTGCTCATCCTTTTTATTATTCTTGAGTTCAAAGTCATTTATGCTCTGTTTCTTTTGAAGATATTCATCTTTGATTTTTTGGATTGCTGTCTCTACTTCTCGAGTGTTCACATCAAGAGTAGTATCAAGAAAGTATGTCACAATTTCCCAGATAGAGTTTAGAGAGTTCACAACAACATTGTTGTCTGGCTCTAACTTCACCATTGATCTGAGTAAATGTCTGAAGATCTGACTAACCTCAGTGAATGCCTTCTGTATTTCTATTTTTAAGGCTGAACTGTTGAGGTTGATAGTTTCTAGAATATCCTTGCCGAATACTAAAACTTGACTAGAAGTTGCTTACTTTGTGATCTTTCTTGGTTAACTATTTTCTCCACAAGAGTGACAAGTTGCATGTGAATTCCTTGGATATTCTCTAAAATTTCCTTATTTTTCAGCAACTTCAATCTTATTGAAATCTTTTTCCAACTTGCTGAAGGTCTTGTTGATAAACTTCTTCTTCAAGGTCGGGTGATTACTCTTCACGATATATTCCTTAAGGCCTGATGGTGACTTCTTAGTGATCTGGAATGGAGCAATTGTTACATTCTTAGACATCCTTCTTGAAAGATTAGTGATCAGGTTTTGCTTTTCTACTGAGTTAGAAGAGAAAAGTACTTAATACATGTCCTTCATAATTGTAGTTTGCTTCTTCAAGTGCTTCAAATTCTGTATGTTCGAAGGAAGAGCAGTCTAAAAGTTGGGCTTCAGCTTACATTTAATGAAGAATTATTTATTTGTGATGATAAGTCTATAGCTTTCTGATGCTCTTTTTGTAAAGGGGAGAAAGTATCCCTAGCACCAAGGTGATGGATTCAAGGTTTCTCCTTAACCTCATTTATATCAGGCTTTTTTGTTGTTAATCCAAGCAGAGTCTGTAGTTTATTGTTTCGTGTGTTTGTAGGTTGTGGAGACAACACTTGCTGAGAATTATCTTCGGATTTAACATTGCTAATAGAAGTAGAAGGCAAGATATCAATTCTTCCAGGTGAGAGTGGTAAGTGATCCCTGATCTTATCAAATTTTAGTTTTCTGTAGTTTATTTCTCAATAGCCAATGCTTGAGAATTTTAATCTGTTATCTCTTGAGACACTTCGAACTCTTTGTGTTAGCTTATTATAGCTATTTTTCAATGTCTTTATTTGTGCATGGCTTAGCAAATCCGAGTTCAATTTCTTTCTCAATAATGAATGGCTTAAAACCATACTGTAGATTAGGGACTTCTTTTATTTTTCTGACTCTATTCTCATGATGACTGACAGTTTTTGCTTTGTCTCTATTATTTGAAACCTCTATTGTTATATAAATCTCAAGCCTTGTATATTTTATAACACACGCTTAAAATCATTTTCTAGATCTATCTACTAGGTTCGAAATCAGTAAGAATTCAGAAATAATGTGAGAAGCAGGATGAGTTCTTACCAAAGGTAGAGTTCATATTCTTAATGATATAAATAATATAATTTAAATTTGCACCTAAAAATTAGCTTTGGGGTTTTGGGGTTTTGGGGTTTTGGGG